CGAAGGTGAGAAACTCATGACTTTATATTGAAAATACCTAAAATTCAGTGAATAGGTGGATGCGTCGATGCAGTGATCGAATGCGAGAACGATCCCTCAATCTGCAGAAATGTCGACATGCAGAACTTCGTTAGGGTAAATTGGAGCTTTCTCTTTTGATCATCCTGAATTCGATCGAACAGTAAGGAACATCGGTGATTTTTCAGACGAATTGCATGAGAACTTGTGGCTACTGTTCATCATCATCGACTGTTGCGGGAAGCGTCACCACAGGTTACACTTTATGCAGTTGTCTCAAAGGCAGCGATTACGATAGGTTTCGGAGGGGATTACCGGGACGTAGAAGTAATCAATGGTACACCAGTGGCGGAAAAGCAGGGAAGTTCGTCGAGGAAACGCAAGCGGGATCCCCTAGTATGGGTGTTGGTCGTTGTCATGCCAATCCATGCTCCAGTCGAGTTGCTCCAGTTGTGCCGCTGCTGGCAACACAGCTCGTCCAAATCACCAACTAAACTAGTGGGCGGATCGCTTTTGGGGCGGAGTGCTTTCGAAGTCCTGCTCAGCAACCAGCGCACCTTTCGTCGTGAAAGCGCCACACTCGCTTCCTTGGCAGCCAAGTAACTGCTTCGTGTGGTGCATATGCTTGCGCTCATCCTCTTCCCTCTTTATCGTAATCGCTTCCTTTGAAGAGTCACATTGCTTCCGTAAACATGTATAAAGCAATTTAATTTAGTTGCGAGCGGAACTGGCTGCAGCACTGCTGTTGATGCCCATCCTTCGTAAGGCATAGCACATTCATAAATTCTTGTTCAAAAACTCTTATGTTTATTTACAGATGCGCCAACTGGGTAAGGAATGGATTCTGCAACAGTGCCTTCTACACTGCCGCAGATAAAAGGACGCACTGTGCTAGATCCTGCAATCTCTGCTAAACAGTGACCAAAGGACCACCACCTACGACGCGATCTTTGTATATAACACGACACGAAGCCTTTCATGATTATTGGAGACGGATCTGACCAGTCCGTCTCTAGCTGATAAATGTATTTTGTAAGCTCGTTTATTGTGTTCTAACGAGAGTCTATCAGTTCTCCACATGAAGCAAACGTTCCCTCCAGCAATGTGCTCCAACACAGTAAATTGTGTACAGCAGCCCACGATGAGCTATGAAAGCTCCAGTTCTGAAGCACAGAAAATGCTATGCCAGCAAAAATTTTCATTGACTTTTCTTGAAGCAAGATTGGAAAAAATGGCTCCTTGGGTAGTGCCATAAGGCAACAGGTTCTGTCTCAGCAGCAGCATATGCGACTGATCATGATAGCAGTTATGAAATTTAACTGGCACCAGAGTTCGAGTTGCTTTCCTGCTCATACCTAGAGAATTTTCGGGACCATTTAAATGAGTATAATATTCTAATGGACATTTACAGAAGGGATTTTGAGAAGCTTATCAGAACCCTTACAGACGTCGTGATCATGGGCTTTAGTTATTCTCTCATTAACCTGGGTTGACATGGAGTTACAGTAGCGGTCAAAAGTGTTCGCCGAAACGATTTTTAGTGCATTATTTTTTCTCGCTTGAGCAACGCCCTCCAAAGATTGATATACTATGTTTTCTAGTGTTTTTATATCCTCAAGTTTAAAGAATCAGGATATTCAAAAGAAAAATTTTCGAGGTCACCATTGATTTTTTTCTGGCAAAAAAAAAGAAGCACGAAAACCGTTTCGGCGAACACTTTTGACCGCTACTGCATATCGATAAGTTTTTAATTCAACTGTTCATCTGCTTAACTGTTTAACTCTTTCGCTGTACCTGAACCCCCTTCACGCCCCCCCCCCCTACGTGCTCTCTGGAGAGGTTGGCGGACCTTCTAAGCTGGTATCCGGAGCCGTACCCTCCTCCTGCGGCTTGCAATGTTGGCGGCCATTGCCCTTCTTCTCCTCAAATGGGCACCCCCCTTCCTCTCCCTCCTTTGTAAGCAGTTTGTATTATCATTCTTTGCCCTTTATTAATTTCTACATTTATTTAACCTATTGTGAAATGGTTTTTGCCCA